TAATAGTTCCAAAAATCGCGATTGACAGACAAAACGAAGAAGAAGCACTCAGATTATTCTTCCATTTGTTTAAATTCTAGTACCTGCTAGCGTTACAATTTTAGAAATTATACTTTTTCAGAATCACCGGAACCTCTGAATCACAGGATCAGGAAAGAAACTGACAAATATAGAAGGCAGATGGCTTCATTGATCATTACAGGTGGTCACTTAGAATATCTGTCTCTTATCAGGCTTCGATGCTTCGTCTTTAGAGTCACCAAGTGAAATTTAAGCCTCGTTGCTAAAACGTTCATCGATCCGGTCGGTAATCGGTAACTGGAGAACTTGCTCTTTTTACTTACTCGTTTTCATTTTTTTGTTTTCTCCACATTTGCGCGTAAAAATTGTCCACGAAAACGTTAAAATCCGGGAAATAGGGAAATTGCTACGTATGAACGTTTAACTGGACTGCCGTTGGCTAGCTTTCATTGCAGGAAGCGATCGATTTAAACCCGGAATACTTGATGAAACAGTGTCATATTGTTTTTTTTTTTTTATTAGAGTTGAAACTAATTATTAATGTAAAAGCTACGAAACAATGCAATTGGCAAGCTAATTGTGGCTGACCGAACTGGTTAATATCATTAGAGTGGAGATTTTTATGTGAATTTATATCACATATATTTATATACACAATGAAATGAAAAGTAAAATTTTCATGCAATCAGTTGCGTCATTATCTAAAAAATAAAAAAGGAATGACTTTTTAAGTGTTTCCCATGCAAGTGAAATCTACAACTAAATTAACAAGTGAAACGGAGTTTTCAGTTTGTTTCTTTGAGTTACGGGCAGTCACAATTACGCACATGGTTGAGCACAATGTTAAAAAGAACGAGATTCGGTAGATTTCTTAATAAGGATAACGACGGGCGAGAAAAAGGCGGACGAATGTTGGCAAGTGTGCATTCGAGTCTTATAAAGTACTCGAGTCGAGTATTGCACGAAAGTTGGGGAAGATCGGCGTGGCTGCAATGAGACCTAGCAATCGATAAAGCTCCTCCCCTTCACGTTGGTCAACGTTTCTCCCATTCTGTTTCGTTAACCATGTAAGAAAGTGGAAAATAATAGGGGGGAAGGGTGAAAGTGGTGTAAAACGCGATCGATACGAACCAGCGTCTAAAAGGGTTCCCAAGGCATTCATTTTTGAAGGGATGGAACAAAGAATTACACCCCCGGGACATGACATTTTTAACGATGCGTTTCACGTTGAAGAAAATGACCTGTTTGCGTAGCAGGTTGTTATTGTAGTGAAATACGGCTTTTTCTTTTAATACAGATTTCTACGAATATTCTTTTTTTTTTTTTTTTTTTAATCGAATATATTTTCATGTAATGATCTTTAAATTATTTATAAATATTGTAATTAAACGAGCGTGATCTCGAAGTTGTTATTTTTTTTTCTTGCGAACGAAGATCTATTTATATTCTTGATGAAAAGTACAGAAAGAGTAAAACTTTGAAAGTAAAAGGGAAATTAGATTGACAGCCTACGAATCTTTTATAATCAAGAATTCATTAACTTTTTTATTATATTAAATAACATTTTCCCTCGAGCATTCATGTGTCCATACTTTTTCCATGAATTCGACTAAACTATTTATAACTCCTGCCACGAGGAATTGCCATGAGTAGCGGGATGATTATAGCATGAGTGATTCGTGTCAGGAAGGATCTTATTTCACTTGACGTGAATCGTTCAATTGAAGAATTGAAATGGCGGTAAGAGACGCGGCTGTCAGAACTGAAAATTTCCAATAAATATAAAATACGGTTTTCTGTCTGTTTCGCTTCTTACATTATTTATCCACTCACGTTATTTGTCACTTTCGTTTTAATTTCTTAATTACTGAAATGACGTTTTTAAAAGATTTCTTTCCCCCCTGCATTTCCCACGCTCTTATTTATGCATCATTTAGGAAACGAGAAATTGTTGTTGTTCATCGATATTTATCTGACTGAAAGGAAGAAGATCATTCACGAAAGTAACAGGCTCGTTCAGCTGGAAAACTTTCGTTGATTGAGAAGCAAGAATCACTTTCTAAAAGCTATGCATCTTGTTATTCCGGCTTGTATGGAACTGTAATTAAAGATTTGAGATTTACACGAACGTGCGAGAAGCAAGCCGCGCCGGCTGGGTTTTATTGCAGTGAAATGAATCCCCGCATTTATCTCGCATGCTTTTACGCGCCCTGTTAAATGTTAATAGCCAATTAATAATGATATAAACAGCATTGGTTATCTGTTAGAATTCTATTCCATGACTGGCGTTTACTCCGCGTGCACGATTCAAAGAGATTCTTAAGTGCGAATAGAAAATAGTAAATTGCAAAGACGATGTTGGCAAAAAAAGAAAATGCCAACATCCGTGTTTTGTAGCTTGGTAGTGTAATTATACCGTGATAATAAACTTGAATGGTTACTTGCAGATTAGCGTTAGATCGTATGAAATTCATTTCCAAGTGAATCAAAAATTAAATTAGTCCCTATAAAATTAATTAACTTGGAAAAGGACAGAGATAGAGATTCGTTCAAGGTATCTAAGCGCAACACGCGTACGGATGCAGTTCTCGTGGCGCGTACCTGCGATGGGAAACCTTATATCTCGTGCACACGATACTCGTTGACGGGTGTGTTAAGGTAAATGAAAAAAGAGAAGAGAGCCAAAGAGAGTGGAAAGGGATCGTCTTTACATAAAAGAAGATCACGTCGGTCGAGCGATCCGCGATCCTTGAAATTCATGCGAGCATAAAACAACCAGAATCGTTGTTGTCTGGCCTGTTTCGTGCACGATGTAATTTTGAATCGATCGAAAATCGGGCAGGATTCTTTCTTCCGTCTTATGGCGTGCACTCTAGCCTAGAGATTCAAGACACATGTTAAAAGTAAATCAAAGGATAGAAAATTAATTTTTAGAAACTGGCAAATACACGTGTTGAGGAGGATAATCAAATTTGGAAGCATCTCTAAGCCGATTTCAAAGCCGTTCGAATTATATATAATATAATATTTATTTAGCATTATATTTATTTATAATATTTATTTAATATTATATTTATAATATTTAATTATAATATTATATTATAAATAAATATTATATATATTGTAATATATTTATAATATTATATTATATATTTATTTATAATATTTATTTAATATTTATTTTACATTATACTAAATATTATATATAATATAATATTTTAGTATAATATAATTATATATATAATATAATATTTTAGTATAATATAATTATATATATAATATAATATTTAGTATAATATTATAGTAACATTATATATAACTCTATAAATTTAGTGTATCGTTTCAGGATCATCCTCTTTTAAACGATCGAGCTCGATTTCGTTTGTTTGGGCCGATGTTCGGACGAATGCGTTCTTGCTCACCTGCGTAACTTTCTCTGCTCGTGATTTATCGACGGCTGGTTCCTAAAACAGTTGAATAATTAACGAAATGGTTTCGTCCTCGATAACAGGGAACGAAGTGGTTCTATGTGGCGGACGGTGATTTATTATCATCTGGCCTGATCCGTACACGATCGAGTGAAAGGTCTCGATGGATCGTTGAAAGAGAATCGATCGTGCTTTCCGGCTGTTTGCTTTGTTTGCCGGCATTCGAACGGTTGCGGAACAAAACTTATGGTGATAATTCGCCACGTACTATCACGTGGAAGCAGGTGAACAGAGACGAACGGCCGACTTCAGGCCTTTCACCCCGGTATAATTTCTGCCCGACTTTCAATCTCTTTCCCACGTACTCAACCTGTGCCCTCTATTGTATCGGCCTACGGTTTGCAAACGGTTGTTAGCTAAATGTCGTTATTGAAAACCATAGCTCGGCCGTTGGCCGCGATACCATGGTCGATGCATCTTGCCCGTTAGAATTCCGCGATGGTATGAATCAAAGTTGTATGAAAACGTTGGAATGGAGTTTGATCGGTATCGTGCCAACAGCCAACCCTTCTAGATTGTCTACAGCGCGGTCTGAATATCGCGGGAGCACTCGTACAGCATGCAGAGCTCCGAAAACCAATCTCAAAGAATAATTTCAGAAAAATAAATAGTAAAATAAATTTACTTCAGTAAAATAAATTTACTTTTAATGAATGAACGAACCAACATAGCGTTCTGACCAGAAAGTTATAGAAAGTCGATTGTCGGACTAGTAAAATCGTGACACAATGAAGTAACGAAAAGAATTTTAATAGTTCAATGTTAAGACCCGTATCTGTGAAGCACTGCGAAGGAGGAGCGATACGTGCAGTTCCCAGCGTCATTTCACACGTTGAAGCGACGAAGAAAGTTTGTTTCATAAAATGAGGCTAACGGAGAATGTTCAAGTACCTCTGTTACTTCCGCTAATGGAAAGATCTCATCTTCCCTCCTTGCGATGGGAGTTTCAATGGCGAGGTTTCATTTGTAAACAAAAGAGTGTGATTAAACCACTTTACGGATTAACGGATTATTAAATATATGTATATATAGAGAAATCAATGGTTCAGTTTTGATAATTTACATTAGTGGCTGAAAGTAAGAAATTATTTGAGTCTTATGTGGTAAACAAGATAAGATTCAACCTACGACGATTAGGCTGCACTTGTTTAATGAATAAAAATAAAATTATCTTGCAACTTTTTAATACATAAATTAAAATAATCAATGTTTTGGCAAAACTTTGTATTTATACTCTGTTATTTTATACTCGATACTGCGGAAAGTGTATGTCAAATGTACAAAGTTTAAATGTACATAGTTGCTAACGAGTGTGAATAACAAGACAGAGATTGCTTTGCATTTATAATTGTTATTCAGGGAAAAAATTGTTGCGTTACTACGATTAATTGTGCTTCCTATTTAGAACTGGTTTCGATCACAAAATTATGCACGATATCGATTTCTGCTAACTACCTCTGTAGTGTGTTGTAAATTAATTGTTTATTTCAGAAATAAGGCGATTGCGGACTATCTCAGTACTAATGGCTATCAAGATGCGCTCGAAGCGTTCAAGAAAGAAGCCGACATGCCTGGGGAAGTGGAAAGAAAATATGGGGGTCTTCTGGAAAAGAAATGGACCTCGGTCATACGTTTGCAAAAGAAGGTAAAATTTTAGAATCAGTTCAGAATCAATGCCTTGTTAAAGTGCTGAATCAGAAATAGTAAAATAGATACGAATAAATATTTAATCAACTACTTAAATGTTTCAGGTAATGGAACTGGAATCCAAACTGTCTGAAGCAGAGAAAGAATTCATCGAAGGAGCACCGACACGTAGCAAACGGTCACCATCTGAGTGGATACCGAGGCCACCCGAAAAGTACAGTCTCACTGGACACAGAGCTCCCATCAACAGAGTTATTTTTCACCCGGTTTTTAGTCTTATAGTGTCTGCCAGCGAAGATGCCACCATCAAGGTAGGATCACTAATTTCTCAAAATTAACAAGAATCTAATTGAAACTAGCATGAAACGTTGAAACGAACGTGTATTTAGTCTAAGAAACGATATTTATTCTGACTTTTTGATGCAGTCGTTTGAGTTAGTCAAGCTAATTGCTCCAGTTATGTTATGTCCCTCGTTGTAAGTTACTCCCATTCAGGTCTTGTTGGAATTGATTTTCTTATTTGTATTAATTCCTCTCAGGTGTGGGATTTCGAGAGTGGCGAATTCGAAAGAACATTGAAAGGACATACTGACAGCGTACAGGACGTCTCTTTCGATGTCTCCGGGAAACTGTTAGTCTCATGCAGTGCAGACATGTCTATTAAGTTGTGGGACTTTCACCAGTCATTCGCCTGCGTGAAAACCATGCACGGACATGATCACAGTGTCAGCTCTGTCGCATTTGTGCCACAAGGAGATTTCGTAGTGAGCGCCTCTAGGGATAAGACCATCAAAATATGGGAAGTCGCGACAGGGTATTGTGTTAAAACGTTGACGGGACATAGAGAATGGGTTCGGATGGCCAGAGTCAGTCCCTGTGGAGAATTAATTGCTAGTTGCTCGAACGATCAAACGGTACGAGTTTGGCATGTTGCAACAAAGGAAACAAAGGTAATTCTACGTGAAAAAAATCGTAGATTTTTTTTAGCAGAATTGTTTCCTATTTTAAAAGGTAGACAATAGATTTAAATTTTCAGTCATTGTGAATTAGCACTCAATGTTCAGAAAAGTTTTCTTTATACGTATTCTTATCTACTGACATTATACTACTAATCGTATTGTAATTATTTTGCCTTAGAATTTCCATTACTCGTATAATTGTAAAACGTTATACAACAGAATTTGATCATTTAATTACGTGACATTCCTGCTGCAGTAAAAATGAATACAAGTATTTTAAATCGAATAACTAATGACAGTAATTGTACAAAACATTCAAGTGACTTGAATAAAGTTACTATATTATTCTAATATAGTGAAGTAAATAATTAATAAATTGACATGTTTTATAAGTTATATAGTGAAGTATGACTCGATCATGATCTTTCTAATAGTTTTTATTAAAGAGTTATTAGGCAATTTATAATAATAAATTGTACGGAATTTGGATTATACGGAATTTCTTCAGTGTTTTTATTATTCAACATTTCTTGAATCAGGTGGAACTCAGAGACCATGAACACGTGGTGGAGTGTATCGCATGGGCACCAGACAGTGCAAGGGCATCTATCAATGCTGCGGCAGGAGCAGACAATAAGGGTGCCCATGAAGGACCTTTCCTCGCATCTGGCTCGCGAGACAAGGTAATTCGCGTATGGGACGTCGGTGCTGGTGTTTGTCTTTTTACCCTTTTGGGACATGACAATTGGGTTCGCGGCATCGTCTTCCATCCCGGTGGCAAGTTTATCGTCAGTGCCTCTGACGATAAGACCCTGCGAGTCTGGGACACGCGCAACAAACGGGTAATGAAAACTCTCGAAGCGCACGTCCACTTTTGCACCTCCGTTGGTGAGTACACAATACTTTATAACTCGACAAAATACATTTACTCGGAAATTTAAGAACCAACGAAGGTTTAATTAGTCATCCAAGAGCTGTAGAAGAGTTATCGATTAGAGATTAAGTTATCGTGTAACATATTGGATCATTTTTCTTATCTCACGTATGATTAAGTATTTTGATTACATAACTTAGGATATTTGTTTTCTCAAATTTCGATCAGTTTTCTTAATTTATATGTATATGTTTAAAAATGAAATAATTTATATGTATCTTAAATGATTAATTGAAGCAGAAATTTGCCTTACTGTAAGATAACTTCTTTCGAAATATTTACAATTGTTTTTTAAACGGCATATTATATTCTAATTAATATCAGAACAAATTGAGTTGTGTTATAATGTGGCCTTGATATAATGTAAGTTTATAGATTATGCGATATACACACTGACAATGTACTATTTTTAGAGTACATTGATCGAAAAAGTTTATACTACTAGTTGAATGAGAAATTTTATGAATTTTTACATTGTCATCACTGAAGCCCCGAATGTTTTTACTCTTTATTTTTAAAAGATAATTAACACATCATATTAACTGAGTAATAAAAATATAATGGATCGATATTTACAGAAATTTGAAAGTAATAAGCCGATATAATTATTTATTTCTCAAAACAGTGATTTACATATTTTTTAGTTTAACGGTGGAAAAGTTCAATGTTTATTTGATATTTTTGTCTTATCTTTTAGTAAATACTTATTCAATCTGTTACTCATATGTAAATAATTCAATTTTGTATAGGTAGACTTATTCTATGAAAAAATATAATATTTAACGTGTAACAATAGATATTTAAATCAAAAAATTGTTTTTCAATAATCTGTATATACTGATTATTGCATAAAATGAATTGTAGATTTTCACAAAAGCCATCCTTACGTGGTCACCGGTAGTGTCGATCAAACAGTAAAGATTTGGGAATGCCGCTAGTCACCAAAACATCAGGGTCTCATTGAATCTTCGTCGAGGAAGAAAGATTTTGGAGAGAAGGCGAACGATGCGCGTCGAATTCGATGAAAACGGCCGAGAGAGTAAGCTGCTACAAAAAAATGTTATCGTACATACTACTATTATTAATATTAATATTATTATACACACATAAACACGTACGATTAAGAGCTCTTTAATTAATTTATAATAAAGTATAATTAGTAATTATTAATATTACATATACGTTTTACGATAACGAACTGTACGATTCGAGGAGAGTCGGTCGAAATTAATTTTCTTTCATGAGGAGGACATTGCCATAATTTCGTCGACGATGAAAAAAAAAAAAAAAAGAAATGAAAGAAATTCAAGTGTCTCGAATCTACTGATAAAAAATGGTATCGGCAACATGTTGCTTCATCGAAACGATTGGTTGATTGTTCCACGGAGACATTGTCTCATCTACGAAGTGTGTAATTGTAAATGTACATTTGGATCGTTCGAACGCGTCGTCTTTCTCAATCTATCGACGATGACAAGAATTTCAGCTTGGATCTCTGGAATATAAGAAAAAATCATGATCGCTCCTTTGCTATGCTGACCTCTCCTCGAGCGTTCTTGGCGTCGGAAAAATGACACCGGCATGTATGACATACAGAGGGATGCGCGCGCGTATACACGCAAAAAGAGAAAATTATTTGTCGTGTACTGTGAGCGTCGATAAAGTTCAATCCAACCTTGGACCGAGTATGTGGCATGTTCCTTCGTACAAAAAAGTAAAAAGATACACAATGTACTAACAAAGTGCGAATAAACGTGCCAAACGGGTAGATAGATTTCAAATTAAATTGAGGATCAAGTAGTGCCCATTTGGAACGTTTAGTCACACTGCATATTCGATATCTGCGTACTATTTATACGACAAAAATATTTCGAATTTTTCTGACAAAAAAAAAAGAAAAAAAAAATTGAACGAACGAACGAACGAATATCTAGTGAGATCGGCCGAAGGCGAACACAATGCTAAAGGAATAATATTATTGTATTGGTAAACAACATATAAGCTTTCGGCAGTGCATGACGTCCAATCAACGTGCATTATTAACGATAATACTAGAAGCAAGGAACGGCCAAGTGGAGCGTGCGATTAGCGAAGAAGGAAATACGTGGAAAGAAGTTTGGAAGCGTGTATTCGCATGAAAGTACTTGAGCCACATAATTCGTTGCGTGGGTCCCGAAATACAAGGGGTACTAGTTGTATATTTAGTTCTAAACTATTAGGAGTAGTGCAGACATAACGTAGACAAGAAACATAAGGAAGAGAAGAAAGAGAAAATTATAAATCAGGCCACGAGTGTACGATCGATCGGTGCACACTCAACACACACACCCATATATATATATAATAATAATACTTACGCAGGCATTTGCCGAGACTTCATGTAACAATGCTTAATTGATTAAGGCCGATTTTTCAAACGATATACTCTACTGTCCGCTATTACATTTTTCCTACCATTGTTCCTCCCTCGTCTAGATAAGCGCCTCTCCGTTTCCCCTATGTCCATTTGCCCCCGAAAAACCTGCCCAAGAAAGAGCTAGACCATTTGACTCGATGTGGCACTAAATTATTTTGATGAACAATAAAAACAAAAGTTCTCATTCAGTTTAACATGATTCTGCTGTATTACCTGTGTGTTTCGTCGTCGTTCGTGCATCGTTGTTTGCCATCTTTCGATCCATTTATAATAAAAAAATCTTGTAGCAATCACGAACATTGGAAGTTCTGTTCTTTTGGGAGCAACTATCCTTGTTTGTCTGAAACGAACCGATGAAATTACGGAAATTCTTCCGTAAAATAAAACAAGACCAATTGTAATCTATTAGAACTAAACAGCTTCGTTCGTCTGTCAATCTAAAACATCGTCTACTTTTTCTTTCTCCCGATAGAATTTAATGTAGCACTCTTGTACAAAACGATTCCTTGGAATCGGAGCGTGGCGAGATCGCACGTGTACACGTACGTTGTTTGAAAAGGCTCGCGTGTAAAACTAGAACAGACTTTTTTCTTTCTTGTCAACCGACCGACCTCGTGTACCTCGATTTCGCTCACGAGGCATGTACGATACTCGCAGGTTTCGTAGAGGCCAGCAATGCGTACGATTTAAGTCACGACTCTGCAAGTACATGCATGTCAGTATTTTACATTTATAATATAGAGAGAGAAAAAAAAAAGTTAACACACGTACACAAACACGTATACACATTGTATATTTATAATATATGATATATATTATACATATATATATACATATATATACACATATACATATACAAATATAATACACAAAAAGAACACATACACACACAAGTATATTATTGTAATTGAGCAGTGAAAAACGAAAATACGCGTATCGAACAGCTAAACTTAACCCAAACACAATTTGATGTTCGGTATTTATACGTAGGATGACGTAATAAAAGTAATGTCGTAGTTGCTTTTCGTAAATTTCGTCGCACTTGCTTTTAGTAATTTTTCTCGCTTTTTCTACCCGCCCTTCGAAACAACAACAACAAAAAAGAAAGGATGCTCATACGTTTGGTAGAGTAACAATAAAATGTTATCATCATTTGTGATATACACGTACACGTCAATGAACTTTCATTAAAAATCCTTGCGTTGTGAAATTGGAAGAGAATTTTTAGCAAATTAATAAGGAAATAAGGAGACAAAGAATGGAGGTGTTTTTAAAAACCACGATGGAGGGAGAGTACAATACTTGTATTCGTGTATGGCTCATAAATAAAGAGCTTATAATAATAAGATCGTCAATAACAGTCTTTTTTGTGAATTTAAGCCTGAAAGATTGTAAAAATTTAATTAAGAACTATATTTTCAATAGAATTGTCAATAGAGTAGCTTAATGTGGTGATTATATATTATGATAATTTTTCAATTAACAGAAATTTATTAATTGAAGATTCATGTATATATTTATATAGGGATATAATAAACGTTCTAGATTTGTTAAATTTTTAGGATTGAATTCGTTTTAATTCTGTCTTTAGTTTAAATTCATGACAAAAGATTTAGTTAAAATTGGCGATCTCATTTTATAGATGCTCTTTTTACAAGTTGCAGATTAAAATTATTTTGTATTTCTTTATATTGTTTTTTTTCTTAGAGGACTTCTTATTTTTAATATATTAAAATACAGAAGCTAATTTTTACAGAAGCAATTACAGACGAAAGAATTTTTAAGTGAAATATTGTAAAAAGTATGTAAATTATGTAATATTCTCTTTTTATTTGAAATATCAGAATTGATGCTTTTGAAATTGCTTTTGGATTTAAAAAATTCAAGTTTCATAAGTACTCTTTTCGGAAATTTTTAGTTTCTTTTAGATTTTTTATTAATTTTAATCAGTTTTGCAATATGAATTATTGTTAGTTGTTTTGATTAATAAACTTAAAATGAAGCATTCAGTCCATGTTCTACATTTAACTCAGGGATTCTATTAAGAACGCAGTAAGTATATTTATTATTACTTTTTATAATTAGTAAAATAGAAACTTTTTTTTGTTTTGTGAAATGTAAAAAAAAAGAAGTAAAGATAAATATATTGAAATAAGTAATTTTGTGAATTTTTCATATTCCTTATTATTTCTAATGTTTAACTTTTCATTTAGGAATTAAATCAATGTTTTCATACTTTGCGATTAACGTAAAATATTCTATTTCGTTGCGTCATCTAATTAATACCAAAGACAATAGGACATGCGTTTTCATGTACCTTGACTTTGGAGGTCAGATTATCGGATTGACCTCCTTACCATTTTCTTGTCCTACCATACCGATTTAGGCAGATTTTGCACCACAGCGCTACTAGTAACAAGAATTAAAATCAAAAGATATGAACAAACGAGGTGTATGAATAGACCTATTTAACATACAATGTATTTCTCTTCGGCGAGATATTTGAATTTTTACAATTTTCGAGAAGAAAAGTATTCTTACTTTTACACTTGCTGCATGATGTAAAAATAAATATCTTTGAACGAAATAAACTCAGGATTGTCAAAATGGAAACTTTATTCTTTAAAATAAAATCAAGTTAATTGTTTTACAATTTTCTTTTTTTCAGGAAATGACAGTTTAAAATATTGACAATTTTTTATCTAGTGTATGAATATTTTCGTTCTTTTTTAAAAATGTCTCATGAATTTGTGTGTTTGATTTAGACCAGAGTACTTTATTTTTTACTTCAAATTATCATTTCGTCATAGATGTGCGATTACAGCGCCCCAACGGTGAAATATGCAATATACTTCCTACGATTCTCGAATATATCGATATTTCTCACGATCGAGTTTTGAGCGGGGTGCATGGCGGAAGGAAGCACATCCTCTGTAAACAAGAAAGTATTATTTAGGAGAATTATTCAGAAAGAAGTGTTCTTCAAAAATCCTCAGGTAAAAATTTAAATCAAGAGCTGTTGGATTTGTGGTTTTGTTGTGAATTTTTAAAATAAAACGCATTTTTGGCTTCAACTCAAGGTAAAATCTAACCAATAATTATTACATACAATTTTCAAAGATTAAAGAAATTATGGTGTATAAACATTTAAACAGAACATATCGTGCTAAAAGTTATTTAAAATTTTATATCAAAATTCTAATTTCAATTCTAACCAATACAAATATTGTGATCTTGTAATATGACTAACATTATTATTATTATATATCTATTGTAACATTTTCTACTTTTTGTTAAGAATCTCATACTGCGTAGTTCTTAACAATTCCAATGCTAAATTCAACAATAATTTATTAAGGTTGTACGTATTTAATGGCATAAATAATAATTCTGCTGCTTAATATAATAAAATTTCTCATGTCTCAATTTAAAGTATTGACAATTTTTCATCAAGTGTGAGAATATTTTCGTTCTTTTTAAAGAATTTCTCATGAATTTTGTGTATTTGATTTAGAACCAGAGTTCTTCATTTTTTACTTGAAATTATCATTTCGTCGTAGACGCGCGATTGCAGCGCCCCAACGGTGAAATATGCAATATACTTCCTATGATTCTCGAATATATCGATATTTCTCACGATCGAGTTTTGAGCGGGGTGCATGGCGGAAGGAAGCACATCTCGTCTGTAAACAAGAAAGTATTATTTAGGAGAATTATTCAGAAAGAAGTGTTATCCAAAAATCCTCAGGTAAAAATTTAGATCAAGAGCTGTTAGATTTGTGGTTTTGTTGTGAATTTTTAAGATAAAACGTGCATTTTTAGCTTCAATTCAAGATAAGATAATTTAACCAAACTATTACATATAATTTTCAACAATTAAAGAAATAATCGGGTATAAACAGAACATACTATGCTAAAAGTTATTTATAATTTTATACCAAAATTGAATTTCGATTCTAACCAGTAAAAATATTGTAACCTTGTAATTGACTAACTCATTATATACATACATATATACACGTATTTTATCATATGCTTTTATACACATACTTCTATTACAACATTTTCTACTTATTTATTGATTCTTTAACTTCATACTGCGTAATTTTTAATAATTCTGATACTAAATTCAATAATAATTTATTAAGAATGTACGTCTTTAATAGTTAAAATAACAATTTTGCTGCGTAATGTAATAAAATTTTTCCATTTCTCGAATAAATAAGTCGTAAAAGGCCTTGAGGCTCGAAAATTCGTAGTTTAAAACACACGCTTACGTGTTTGTGTAAGGCTCTTAATGTCGCACCTGTTTTTTCAGCGTTGCAAATAAACATTTTCGACTAAACGTGTCGAGACGTGCTTGTTCGTTCAAGATCACCCCATCCCCTACCATTTTCTCAATTGCTAGACGAGACGTGTCGCGAAGAGTCATTCGGTCACCGAATTTCGTGACAACAACACGCATTACATCGTGTTAGCTTCGTAATCTTTTCTAACTTATCGGTAGCGTCTCTTCGACAGCGTCGCTTCTTCGACACTCTTTTACCATTTATACCTCATTAATAGTATCATTTAATTAATACGCGATGTATTTAATGATTAATTGAGCATTACGGTAATGAAATCGTATAATACTTTGAAACTTTTCGCGTCGATTTTTCTTCAATCGTCGATTTCACTCGTACGGTCACCGGTAGCTTATCTCGTATGTTTCTTTAGTAGAATTTGAGGTGACTAACGTTTCATTTTTACACGTTTGCCTCCATTTGACATATTTGTTCTAACTTTTGGTTTCTTTTTGTGCAGGTTATTCCTCGATTTCAGAGATAGAATAGAACACATAGACGCCACGATTATTAATGAACAATCTGATATTCTTTGACGGAAATTTGGTAACATTTCATTTATTTTAGGTATACACAAACGATTGATGCGTAATTAAACGATTCAAAGCAAGACTTTACACGCTTTTTTCGCTTTAATATTATTTTTGAATATTTATAACACTTGACGTGATATATTATTAATATGCACTTCCTACTATAATAATGAACATTCAGAATACAATACTCGTCTTTCATTTACAGTATTCAGTATTGAGATATACTTTATAATTTACAACTAATATCTTTAATACATATTCAAGTTTCTTCATGTTCTAGAAAAATAGCAGTATTTTCTAAATAAATATATCCTCCGCCCTCCTCCAACTAATCTAATTTTATTTTCAGAAAATTTTAGTGACCGCGCGCAATGCGGTTAGTAGAGTCAGTGTTTGTTGCGAAATATTTTCATATTTTTCTGAGCAAAATGGCTCTCATTAAATTAAATAATTCACTGAAATTATAATTCGCGAAATTAGAGTCAGTGAGTTCGTCTAT